CCCAATCCTGAATAGTCCTGAGTTTCAGAGAGAGGAATCCATAAGAAGTCTGCTCTTGAATCCATCTTAGGGCTGATCAACAAAACTGATTAAAAAAAGACACCAAAGACCTTAGTCACTAGACAATAAAGGCTCCCATCAAAGACCAAAACAGGGACCTCTTGATCTCTTCTTTTCCTCAGGACCACAGGGAAAGACATCTTCACCATCTTCCACCCAGAAAATGAGGACAAGTTTGGGGATTTCTTTATAAGAAAGAGACAGATTACTAACTAGAAGACATTCAGCCATTCAAAACAAACCTATATTTATCTATGGAGTCTCCTTCTTTCCTTCCATTTCTTAATCTTCTGCATGAGTTGAACACAGTTATTTAACAAAAAAAAACAAACAAACATAGATTTCAGCATCTCACCAAACCCGCTTAACTTCAAAAGACACTCTAAAAAAAAAAAAAAAAAAAGAAACATGGATTTCAGCATCTCACCAAACTCGCTTAACTTCAAAAGACACTCTAAGGTCTTTAATTATCCTGAAAAGTTTGCTGGGTTCCCCCCATCCCCACAAGATGTTAGAATAATGGACAGTATTTGTTTAAAAAAATAGAAAGTAGCATTTTCACCACCCTGCAAAAAAATCCCCCAAGGTGCAGAATATTGAAAATGTTCTACAATGTTTAAAAGCCCGAATGAAGAAAACTACATGGAAAAGATTGTTTATGGGTCCGAGAAAGGATCTTCCACATCCTTCTCTAAGCATGTTTGGACCCCATACTTCCCCACAGAGGACGTTATCTCTGCGACAGAGGCTTTAAATCAGGAACAGGAAGGATCTAGTAGTTAAGTTAATGGTCTGAAGCCAACCAAGGACAGATCATAACCGAGTTCCCAAGAGGAACAACCAGCTCCCTAGGCAAGGATCCCAAGAAGGGGGAGGGCCTGTGTGTGGTGCATCCCTTCCAGAAAAAACTCCCACAGGACTTTCCCCCCTTTTAAGATCCCCCTTTTTACCTCTTTGTCCTCTTCCCTCCAGGCAACGGTGCCACCAAAAAGACCTTCCGTTTCTTTCCGGGAAGAGTAGAAGAGGTGCATTGAGAATTTTCTTCCCCTTCCTTCCAACATCCGGCTTCTCTAGGAATTCAAAATCTGTTTGTTTAACCCTTGAAGGGATGAGGGGGAGGCAGAAGCTGTTCTTCCCTCTTCCAATCTTTTCCCTTCCTCCCTCCCTTTGTACCAGAGCATGGCACAATGGTATGTGAAATATAGATGTAAGAGCAAACTAATGTGTTAAGATACTTTGTGTATTCCCAAAGGCATTCACGGCCAGAATCCGATGGTTGTTCCGGAACACAACCAAACAGCCTTAAAAAACTACAACAACCATAATTAGACTGTGTTTGAGGAAGCCTTTCTGTTAAGCAGATCACTAACGGTGCTTTTGGCTGCTGGGTTTTCACCGAATAATTGAGTTGAAAGGGGCCTATAAGGCCAGCAGGTGCATTGCCAAGAATCCAAACCACAGCAGATCTGACAGACCTTTGCCCAATTTTCCTTTGAATGGTTGCTGTAGGTTTTTTGGGCTGTTTGGCCGTCTTCCAAAGGTTTTTCTTCCCAATATTTCCTCAGTCTCTGTGGCTGGCATCTTCAGAGGACAGTAGAGATGGGGTTATTTGTATACGAATACAAATATCCCCGCACAGGTGGTGTTAATGAGGGTCCACTTACCGATCTGACATGGACGGCATGATTCTACGAATGGTTTTGCAACGGTCGATCCACTCACCACTCCTGACAAGAGGCGGGAGGACAAGCCTCCTTGCAAGGTCGAAGAGTGGCAAGCAGATTGCACACTGCGGAGCCATTCGTAGAATTGCACCGTCCACTTCCACAGCGGATCAGTGAGTGGACCGTCTGGCCCCATGGGGCTGGACCCTCATTCACACCACCTCTGCTGGGATATTCGTATATGAACACCCCCATCTCTAGACAGGACTTAGAACTCAGAACACGGAGTTCTAACTCCAGTCCTCTGAAGATGCCGGCCACAGAGACTGGCAAAACATTAGGAAGAAAAACATCCAGAACACGTCCAGACAGCCCGAAAAACCTACAACAACCATCAGATCCTGGCCGTGAAAGTCTTCGAGAATACATTTCCCTTGAATGCCTCTGGTATTGGAGTGCTCACCACCATCGGAGGCAATTGGTTATATTGCTGTCTTGCTCTAACAGGAGGTTTTTTTCCTGATAGTATGCTATGATCTGGCTTCCTATAACTTGAGCCCATTATAATGGGTCCTGCACTCTGGGATGATGGTGAGCAAGTCCTGCCCCTCCTCTGTATGATTCCCTTTCAGATATTTGAAAAGTGATACCATATCTCTCCTAAGTTTTCTTTTCTCAAGGATAAACATATCCAGTTCTAATCCTCAGAAGGGTTGGTTTCCAGTCCCCTGATCATCCTTGTTGCCCTCCTCTGAACTTGGCTCCAGTTTGTTGGCACCCTTCTTAAAATGCAGCATCCAGAACTGGACATACCTCAAGGTAAGGCTACACAGTACTCAAGGTGAGGCTTAACCAGTTTCAAATAGATGGGGACTAGTACCTCATGGGATCTGGAGACAATATATTTCTCTTAATACATCCTAAAATGGCATTGGCCTTTATTCAGCCACATAGCACTGTTGCCTCACATTAAGCTTAGGATCTACAACAATCCCAAGATCCTTCTCAGTCATACTGTACTATTATGGAGCCAAGTATCCCCCATCTTGTAACTGTCATTAGAATGTTGGCTGTTTTATTTTCAATCCCCCTTTTAATGATCCCTGGCATGGAATTGGCCTTCTTCACTGCTGCCATACACTGGGTTGACCCTTTCATCGGGCTGTCCACCAGCACACCAAGATCTGTTGCCTGATCCAGCACAGGCAGCTCAGAACACATCAGCTGATAACTAGAGTTTTGTTTTTTTCCCCAATGTGCATTACTTTACATTTTCCTTGGAAGGTAGAACATCTAAGTGCCGTATTCTTGGACTGCAACTCATTGTTGGTAAAGAGGATGACTCAGTCATAATGTATGTTCAGTACACCAGCAGTATTCACAATGAAACAAGTCAGTCTCCTCTGGGGCCCCTGTCCTCCTACACTATAACCAGTGTTGTCTGTGTCAACCTGGCAGACTGAGCTCTCCCCTCCCCCCCCCGCAGAAGCAATGGTTCAGCAACCCCACCTGCCTGTGTCTAGCCTTCATTAAACACTAGGTGCAGATATTGCTTTCGTGGGAAGAAGAGACCCATCTTGGGGTCTGTGACACAGACTCAGGTTCTTGTATTTTTATTTCCTGTCCACTGCCTTGGCCAAGGGCAACAACAATCCCAAGATCCTTCTCAATCATACTATTATGGAGCCAAGTATCCCCCATCTTGTAACTGTCATTAGAATGTTGGCTGTTTTATTTTCAGTCCCCCTTTTAATGGCTCAAAGTATGCATGCAGTACCTCCTGTGGATCTTCAGCTCAGGAAGCTTCCCCACCCCATATTTAAATGTAATGGGGGTGGTCATGGCTTATAACAGCCCCCAGATCTAGAGGGATCTTGTGCTCCAGGGCCAAGTTAGGTAGCATGGCGGCCCACCAGCATTGCCTTTGACACCTTTTCTGAGATGCAGAGCAGGAGATACCTGCCCCTCCCCATGATGCCAGTAGAAAGGCATTTTCAGGATCCCAAAGTAATATTCTTGTCGCCATCCTGGTGGGCTGGTGTGTTTCGCTACAGAAGTTGAGGTACCCGGAAAGGTCATTGGGACCCAGGGTCACCAAGAAGGGTCACAGTCACAGCCCTTGACTGCCCCATCAGGATTCTTACAACTCTTGGTCCTCCATGGGGTCCTTTCCAGTTCTAAGAATATGTTATGGGCATCCTTCCCTCTCGAGAGACTATGGTGACGTGCTCTGAATGTCTAGTGTGGCTGAGAAGGCCCATTCGAGGGTGACAATCCCTTCCACTACAATGATACAGCCAGTATTGTTAACATTACGTCCAGCTGGAGTTTGTAAACATGATTCCTTTCCACCATTTCATCTGAATCTCCCTTCTCATGGATTCCGGACTGCAATCTTAGCCAAAATCACTATCACAATAGAAGAGGTAGCTGGGGATAGTCTGTGCAAACATATTCCAGAGAAACAAAATATGTGACACCTTAAAGACTAACTAATATACTGTATATATTACAGCAGTGGTTCCCAACCTTGGGCTTCCAGATGTTCTTGAACGCCCAGAAATCCTGGGCATCAGAGGTGGTGGTGAAGGCTTCTGGGAGTTGTAGTCCAAGAACATCTGGAGTCCCAAGGTTGGGGACCACTGTATTACAGTACAGTGTACAGTGCAGTACAGTATATGGAAAGAAACGGAGGGGGAAGCGAGTAGTAAGGGGACGACACCTTTTGACACTTCTCCCTCTAAGGGTTAAATGAACAGAGTCTTCCTTCCTAGAGCGGCAAGACGTTTGAAGTGGGCTCTTCTTTTAGTCTTCCGGGGAAGAGCAAAGGCGTCCTTCTTGGTGAGGCTGTTGCCGGGAGGGGGGAAAGAGACAGAGGTTAAAAAAAGGGTGACACGGTGGGATGATGACGGGGGAGTGGGTGACAAATGGCCTGGGGGGACTTTTGGGGAACAGATTCCCCCCACGCACACGCACGCGCGCACACACCCCTTCTTGTCGTGGGATCCTTGCTGGGGAAGCTGATCCTTGCAATCCTGCTGCAAAAATCAGATTCTGCCTTCCTGCTTTTTTCTCTCTTAAGAGGCCACGTTCAGAAAGTTCTCCTCAGTTAATCAGTCGATTGAGTCAAGGCAGGCCTGTGTCCTTGTAGACCAATAGGCGCCTTTGTAGGTTCTGCGTAGAACAGGGTGGTGGTCCTAAGGGCATGCCTGGGCAAGCCTTAGACCACCTGGCTCAGAAGGTCCCTGAGGAGTGGTTTCCACTGTTGGGGTGGGTGGCAGATGGGCTCTTTAAAAAACGAGTTTTTCACTCCCCCCCAATGAGTTGTCATTTTCTTCCCAGGGAGCAGAAGGGAGATTGGGAGGCTTAGAGGGTGAACCTCAGGAGACCAGTGACGGCTTCTGACCCAGAACTGGACCGACTGGGAAGAGCTGCGGTTTCCCCCCCTCCCCACTCCAACCACTCTTCCTGCCAGCCCCTTAGTAGACAGGAAACAGCCTTTCAGGTATTTATCTGTGTGAGGGAGGGTGAAATAACCGTGCCATGCCTGGTGGTTGTAGTGGAAAGGATGCAACCGAGTCCCCTTGAAGGCTCCTGACGAGAGAAGACCCCAGTCAGTTTCTCTAGGCAGAGAGCAAGGGTTGGAAAATGATCCTGACTTCCATTTGAATTTCACAGTGTAGGAGATCTCAAAGCAGAGACCGGAGGGGCTTCAAGGCTGGAAAAGGTGTCAGACCAGATGGGGAAGCTCAGCAAGCCGTATTTTCTTAGAACTGCAGAGCTGGAAGGGACCTTAGGGGTCATTAAGTCCAGCCCCTGTCAAGGAGGCCCAGTGGGGATTCAAACTCCCAACGTCAGATACCTAAACCCCTGAGCTATCTAGCAATTTACACCTCTCTCGTCTTGCCCACAGGCACTTGCAGTGGCATCAGAGATGCAATCTGGGTCACCTCTTCCAGATGGTGGAGTGGAAGGGAGATGCATTCAGAGAGATCAGGTAAGAGAGCACTCAACAGAGAGCTATATAAAGGGCGCAGCCTTACTACTTCCAAGACATGCAGTGTGAACAATTGTCACCATCATTATTAATTGAATATTTTTTTCTTTGAAGGAATACTGAAAATGCTTGTAGCAATGAAAATGATATATTAAAAAGGTGAAATACAGGCGAACCCATCTATGACATAACCTCTTTCCAGTAATATCAAATTTTAGGGATGATTAATGTTAATATTTGAAAATCAGCCACTGGAAAACTATGTGGAGAACGAATTTTAGGCCGTAAAGTGTTGCTGTATTTCTTACATGAAGTTGGGACTTATAAAGTAATAAGATCAAATGAAGTCCAGACCAGAAAATCCTTCTTACTAGAAGGTGTTCCCTTTCTTTCCTTAGCTGGTGTCCTTTGAGGAGGTGGCTGTGTACTTCAGGAAGGGAGAGTGGGATCTCCTGGATCCAAGCCAACAAGATTTGTACAAGGAGGTCATGTTGGAGAACTACAGGAATGTGGCCTTGCTGGGTAAGGAGGCTTTTTATTTGGTCAAGAAAAGGCCAAAATGATGGATTTTTATTCTTGAGAACTTGGTTATGAAGTGGGCAAGGCCCTTGGCTGGCTTCAGACATCCAGTTAATCACCGGGTTGTTCCTGTATGAGGTTCATAATACAGTGGTGCCTCGCTTAATGATGTTAATTGGTTCCATTAAAAAAATCGTTATGTGAAAACATCGTTAAGTGAAACACCATTTCCCATAGGAATGCATTGAAAACCGGTTAATCTGTTCCAATTGGAACAGATTAATGCTTGCAATCATTAGCCCACCTCCTGAAACCTACGCAAATTTAATGTGGTGTTGTTCTGAGTCGTTGTTAATTTTTGGTGATTTTTTGTTTTTCCCTCATTGAACTCTATTGAACTGTACGTCCAATGCATTTCAATGAGAGAGAAAACAAAAAATCACCAAAAATTAACGACGACTCAGAACAACACCAAATTAAGTTTGCATAGAGTTCAGGAGGTGGGCTAACGATTGCAAGCATTTAAAACAGGTTTCTAACAGTTTAAGACACTTTTACAGGAGCGAAAAAGGGACATCGTTAAGTGAAATTCCCCCATAGAGAACATCGTTAAACGATGGGGGAAATTCCTCAAAGAAACCCATCGCTGTGTGAATTCATCGTTGTATGAAGCAATCGTTGTGCGAGGCACCACTGTATTCATCATGGAGATGATGGTTAGCCTAGTCCAGGAAGTGGTAAATTCTCTGTGGGAAAGAATGGGGTCCAAACATGCTTAGAGAAATATATCAAAGAACAACTCCTGGAAGATCCATTTCAAAAAAGGCCTTTTCCATACTAGGCGAAGGGAGTTTTCTTCAGTTGAGCATTTTAAAATCTGAGAACATGTTCTATTTTCTTCATCTTGCAGACATTTTTTACAACTACTATCCATTATTACTTTGGCCAACTACTATCCATTATTACTTTTACCACACAGTAATCCCTTTGGGATTATTGAAGACCTTTTAGGACGTGTCATGCATGTTTTGAAATTAATTAAGTTTGGTGGGGTATTGAATTTTATGTTTTAATTTTTGGTAATGACCATATTTTTCTGTGTATAAGATGCCACTTTTTCCTAAAATCATTACACTAAAAATTGAGGTGCGTCTTATACACAGAAGTAAGCTTAGATAGCTGAGGCAAGAACAAAACGGCACATACCTTGCCACTGTAAACAGGCTTCCTTCGATCACAAGGCTTAGCTTCGTACAGTCAGGAGGCTTAGCTTACTCCAGTCACAAACCTTATGGAACTGATGTCAGCTGACGCTGAACAAACCAAATGGAACACACCTCATTGGAGGTGGAGCCTGTAGGCTCAGATTCAACAGGGACTCCTAATGTCTTGAGCGTTCTGAGCCCAGAGGCTGAATACTCAAAGCTAAGTTTTCTTGATTTTGGTGTTAGAAAAGTGGGGGGTGTCTTATAAGTGGGGACATGTTATGTTATAAATGGAAAAATACAGTAAATGTGTTTGGGCCATGCAGAGGATTAAGAAAGAGGAAGAACAAAGGATCATTGGATCTGTTTGGCAGAGCTCTTTTGGAAGTTCAAGGGCCTATTATGTGCTGGTCCATTAAGAAAAAACAGAGATTGTTCAGTAGCCTACAGTGAAGAATTTGCATGATCCTTTGCAGGCAAAATTGCTTGGATCCGCTCTGACTTGCACCTCCTATGGATATGATTTTGACCCTTTCTTCTCCTGTCCATGGAGACATTTTAGGTTTTTCAACCTGAGAGTGTGGACAGGACTCTTGAATGAATGGGAGTGGCCACATGTGTGTTGGACTTTTGCCTTTCCTAGCATATAAAAGTTCTCTTTGGTTCCCCCATGCTATTTAATATACACATGACAGAGAAGTTGTCCAGAGTTTTCAGGTAAAAAGTCATCTGTATCCAGTTAACACTCAACCCTATCTCTTCTTTCCCCCTAATTCCAAGGAAGCTGTTTTGGTCCTAAAATAGTGTCTCATGTCAGTTATGGATTGGATAACAGTGAATAAATTGAAGCTTAATCAAGACACAGGTACTCTAGGTCTGTTGAAAGGGAATAGGGTTTTAGGCTATGCTGGATGGAGTTACACGGCCCCGGAAAATGCAGATTCCCACTTTGGGTACAATCCTGGATTCCTCCCTGAACCTGGATGCTTAGGACTTAATGGTGGCTCAGACTACATTTGCATAATTAAAACTAGTGTACCAGATATTCCTGTTTCTGGAAATGATCTGGCCACAGTCACACATGCCTTAGTAACATCCCATATGGATTATATCCCGTCTGTATTATTGATTGCCCCCTTGTTTTTCAATATTGTTGTTCAATGTTGTAAACCGTCCTGGGTCCTTTTCAAGGAGAAAGGGGGGGAGGTTAGAATGAATGAACTAATGAACTAACGAAATAAATGTTTTTTGCAACTGAATGTACAGCCGTACCTCTGGAAGTGTTTACAATATATGATTTCCACCTTGCCTGGGGAACTTCGTGTTACCCAGGATTTGGGCCACTGTGCAGTAACTTTCAATTTGTTTTCCAAGATATGCCAGCACAACTGCAGGAATCTCTGAGATGGCCTGGCTTATGCTTCCTTTTTCTGTCTCCCAGGAAATGTGATGGCAACAGAGGGAGGCTCTGGATTGGCAACTGGTGGTGGTGGTGGACAGGACAAAATGTCTGTATACCTGCTTAAGGTAAAGATGGGATTATTATGAAAAGATGCAGTGGATTTTCCTGTATTTCTTGGAGGTTGTTGATACTGCAAGGAAAAAGCAATGGATTCTCGAAGGCTTTCACGGCTGGGATCTGATGGTTGTTGTGGGTTTTTCGAGCTCTTTGGCCATGTTCTGAAGGTTGTTCTTCCTCTGAAGATGCCGGTCACAGAGACTGGTGAAAAAACATCAGAACACGGCCAAAGAGCCCGAAAAACCCACACCAACCAAAAAGCAATGGATTTGTAGTCCCTGCATTGGGCAGGGGGTTGGACTCAATGACTTTATAGGTTCCTTTTGACTCCATTGTTCTATGATCCTTAGAAAGTGACAGCCAATAAATAAATAAATAAATCTACTCAGTTGGGATTTCTCACCAAATGGTAGGAGCCTGCCTTTGTGTTTAGAAGAGCATATCTGAGTAGGTAATTTTTCCCTTTCTTCTTCTAGCAGCTCATGTCCTTCCAGGAGGTGGCTGTGTCTTTCACCCAGCAGGAGTGGGATCTCCTAGATCCAGGCCAAAGAGGTCTGTATAAGGAAGTCATGCTGGAGATCTACAGGATGGTAACCTCTCTGGGTAAGAGCAGAATCCATGCCAGTGATTAGCATGACTGAAGGTCCTGTGAAAGCCTTTCTGGGCAGAAGGAACACATAAGAAATGTTCCAGGTGGTGGATGCAATTGCTATAGATGGAATTATCTGGAAGTTGAGTCATGGCAGCTGGACCTCTTTCTTATTAGGCTGAAAGGTTTAGCTACTCTTCTAAGTAGCTACTTCAGTCTGAGGAGAGTTGGTAGGAGACCCCTGTTCTATCCTCCAGGTTGGTTTCACTCCCCCCTGGTCTGAATAGGCTTAGATGGACAAAGGACTGGGAATGAATCCCACTAGTGCAGTCCTACTCCATCCATTGTCATGAGTTGTTAACAGTGGTCTTTTTGGTGGGTGTGGTTCTGATCTTTCTGGGGACAGATGAAAGGGCAGCATGATAAATGGAAGGACAAATTGTATCTAAGGTCTCCACCCCTGTTTAGTGAGGGATTTTCCATCTGCACATATATGGCCTCCCTGACCCCTGTCTCAAACCACCTATCTTCTTGGTCCAAAATGAGTAGGTACATCTTTGTCATCTTGGTACAGTGGTGCCTTGAGTTACGAACTTAATTGGTTCAGGAAGATGGTCGTAACTCAAAGAGCCATTTCTCATAGGAATAAATTCAAACGTGGTTAGTCCGTTCTGGCCGAAAAACACACACACCGAAAAACAAAAAACACTGCAAGACCTATCAGAAATGTGATTAATCCGTTCCGGCTGGAAAAAAAAACACCGAAAAAAAACACCAAACTGCAAGACCCATCACAGCACAGAAACATAAACCCCCAGACCAAACCCATGCAGCAAAACCCTGTACTCAGTCAAAACAGGCATTTTAAAAAGGAGAAAGTAGTACCAGGTAGTCCAAAGCCTCCTCTGAACGCACACTCTCTAACCACTGGGGTCCCTGCCTTTTTTCCGGTCACATCTCAAAGCTCCAGTCGCAAGTCAAAGAAACATTTTGCGGCAGGAGCTGGTCATAACTCGAATTGGTCGCAAGTCAACTTACGTTTGTAAGTTGAAGCACCACTGTGCTCATTTTGGAGAGATAAGATCGGTGGTTTGAGAGAGGGGTCAGGGAAGCCATACGAGTGCATACAAAAAATCCCTCACTCAACAGACATGGAGGCCTTAGATACGATCTGCTGCTCTTTCATCCGTCCCAAGAAAGATCAGGACCACACCCACCAGAAAGACCACTGTTAACCATTAACAACCCATGACAATGGGTAAAAAAAAACACAACTCCAGTGACATTTGTGACAGATTGATCAGTGGATATATTGAGACCAATACGAATTCATATTCTCCTATATGTTTTTCATTCTGTGAGGCGTAAATGTCAAGGGATGCCATTTGTTTAAATAAGTTCTCCAAAGTGTATCCACCTCGTGCTTAACACTTAGTTGTCAGTGGGCTTGCCTGAGATTGGTATAGAAGTGACCGTTCTGTACTGTTCTGCTCGTCCCTTCATGGTCCGGTCCAGAAGAGTTGCTTGGGGAATTTTTATTCCTTCTCTTGGCATTTGTAGCTCGGGGTCCCTCAGGGCTGTATTCTACTCTCCTTGCTTCTTTACATCTACAAGAACATCTGAGTAAGTTATGTAGGGATTGGGACTGCAGTGTCTTTGGCTCACCAATCAAATAAACCTCTGTTTCTCTTTTTTTGTCTGGTTCTTTCAAAAGAGATACGTGTATGCTCAAGAGAGGCCAGGCTTGGCCAATTCCAAATCCTGAATCTGGGCAGTCCAAGGTTTACGCCAGAGAGTAGATATTCCAAATAAAGACAGCGTAACCCAGAATCACAAGGTAGTCCAAAGTATAAGTTAGGAAAGTGCAACTAGAAATTTATAGAAGAGCAAAGAAAAGGGCTGAGAGTCCAAAATTGCAAGAGGGGAAAGGAACAGACTTGTAGATCTGGCTTACAAAATGGTTTCCAGCTAAAGTCTATAGCCCACCCTGGGTTTCTCCCAGGCAGCATCCAGTATCAGGTGGAGCTGCCTGTCATTTAGTGCCTTGTGGTGCGGTAGGTTCACATTGGCCTTCAAAAAAAGATTCCTTCAGTCAGGGCATGGGATCTGGTGGGAATCACTGTTTGGCTCTTGAAATGGGAGAGATCACAAAAGAAATCAGAACATCACTGAGAGGGAAGAGAGGCAGTATAATGGACCGTTTGCTTCATCAGCCTGTTCTGTAGGAGGTTGTACACCTCTCCCGCCCTGGTATTGGATCTGTGGTCTACTAAAACAGTTTCTTCTAATGGATCTTGCCTAGAGGATTTGTTTACTACCGAAGTAATAAATGTTCATAAGAAACAAGTTCATGGGTTTGTAACAATATGCTAGAACGCCTGACATTTTCGCACTCACCAGCCTGTCTTTTTCTTTGAAAGCTGTTCCCAAACCAGAGCTCACCTTCTTGCTGGAAGGAGGAGGCGATCCATTTGTCCAGGACTCTGAGGAGCAGAAGAGATGGGCAGGCGGATGCTTAGGTATGTCTGGTGGAGCTTTTCAGAGGGTTTTGTGACCATTTCTGTTCCTCATTCAGAAGAAGGACGACTCCGTCACCAAGTGTGTTGAATCTACCAGTAGTATTCACAGCTAGATCAGCCGGTCTCCTCGGGGATCACTTTCCTCCTGTATAACCTAAACTATATATGACTCCTCAAAGCATGGCCTCTGTTATTTGTACATCATGCTCCAGGGGCACTTATTCAGCAGCGCCATTTGACAATCTCCCATATTACCCTCTTTAAATATTAGCATCCAAGATTGCTCTCACAGGAAGAAGAAACTGAAGAGTCTGTGACACAGACTAAGCTTCTTATAGTTCTCTCTGTCTTCCCTCGGGCAAGGACACCTTCCTATGGCTGCCCTGCTTCTTTTTTTTTGCTGTTCTTGAACTTGCTCCCTGTTCTTTTTGGTCAACACAAGACTCATCTCTGGTCTTGCTGAACAATATCTCATTGTTCAAAATCCTGAGTGACTTTAGATTGAGTGACCGTTATCATTTTACTTCACATTGAAGAATGTTTGAATTAAAGACCTCCAAAAGTCTCATCATTAGCAGCCCTCCTCTGATCTTGGGAAGTTAAAGACTTCCTTGATGGAGTCAATCTGTCTCAGACTAGATTGTTTTCCTTTCTCAATGTCTTCAACACTACTTTACTTGATTGTCTTTTCCAGGGAGATTTGTCTTGTGATATGTCCATAGTGCAGTGCCCCAAAGTTACTTGTTTTAGCTTTTAATGAGAGTTTAGGCTTGATTTGATCAAGAACCTGTAGTTTTATGTTCCGGTGCTCCATGGAATAATACAGTATGCATGAATTTGTCCTTGGTTCCTAAAGACACCACCTTATCCAGTCCTTCTTCTCCCTTGAGAGGAATAGATAAAACAAATTAAGTAATTGAGGGTGCTATTCCTACCATTATCCTAATAGAAGCTGCAGCCAAATTAGAACTAGTCTGGACTGATGAGGAATTCTCAATACAGTACAGAGCCATAGCACACCCCTATGCCATAGGGTTTCCAATGGGGAAATTTTGCATAGCGATGTTCGGGACCTTGCTTCGCTTAGCAATGACAGTTTAGGCCCCCCTGTTTCGCTTAGCGATCTCCGTTTTCGCTATTTTAAGTGTGTCTTAAAATGTCTTCTTTAATTTTTGGTGAATTTTTCCCCCATTGAAATGCATTGACAGCTGTCAAACCTACAGTCCAGAACAAAGCCAAATTAAGTTTGCAAAGGTTTTACAAGGTGTACTAACGACTCCAAGCATTTTAAACAGTTTTTGAACATTTTAAGACACTTTAAAAATAGCAAAAACGGACCTGTCAAAATCATTGAAATGCATTGAAACCTATTCAATGCATTTCAATGGGGGAACTGCATTTCGCTTAGCGATGTTTCCTATGGCGATTTTTGCTTAAGGATGGTAATCCATTGGAACGAATTATCCGGTTTTCAATGCATTCCTATGGGAAATGGTGTTTCACTTAGCAGTGTTTTCCCATAGCTATGTTTTTTTTTTTGAACCAAGGTGCATCGCTAAGCGAGGCACCACTGTACAGCTAGATTAGTCAAAAGACAAGCGTTGAGCATCTCCTAGCTTTGTTTTCTTTCCCCAAGCCAGCTGCAGTTCTTTTTTTCTCCCATTCTGTTTGCAGAGTCTTCAGTGCCTTTTAAAACAAACCAGAAATGAATTCTTATTGAGGTTGAATGTAGCAGGTTAGTGAAAAGATTATCCAGTTCCGCATAGGGCACAGAGAGGGAAATGTGATCGTCTTTGGGACTGAGAAAGAGAAAAATAAATAGTTCAAGTTTCTACTTAGACAAGAAGCTCCTACATCGCCCTGAAACTCTCTGACAACATGTTATACCTCTTTTTCTGTCTCAGGTTTAGATGCTGGTCAGGAGGATGAGAAGTGCCAGAAGCTACATATTGTGTTAGGGAAAGTTAAAGAGTCTGAAGAAGGAAGAGAGATATTCAGAAATCCAAGAGAATCAGACAATCACATGGAAACGGAGTCCAAGAAAGGAAAGGAAAAATCCTCATATTCTAAGAACGCTGATGACGAATTGAAGAGATATGACATAATCCAGACAGGATCAAAATGGTATCAAGTTATAGACCACAGAAAACACTTCAGAGATAGTGGTACATGTTCTGATCAAAGCAGCAGCAATGGGGAGAAACCATTTAAATGTACAATATGTGGGAAGAGTTTCACTTTTTGTTCTAGACTAGCTTTGCATGAAAGAATTCACACAGGAGAGAAACCATATGAATGCATAGAGTGTGGAAAGAGCTTTAGCCAGAAAGGAAGCCTTCGTGTGCACCAGAGAACTCACACAGGAGAGAAACCATTTAAATGCACGGATTGTGGAAAGAGTTTTAGTTGGAAAGGAAGCCTTAATGTGCATCAAAGGACCCACACGGGAGAGAAACCATTTAAATGCACAGAGTGCGGAAAGAGTTTCATTGGAAAAGCAAACCTCAGGCTGCATCAAAGGACTCACACAGGGGAGAAACCATACAAATGTGTGAGGTGCGAAAAGAGTTTTGTTGGTAAAGCGAACCTTAGGCGGCATCAAAGAACACACATAGGGACTAGGCCATATAAATGCATTGAGTGTGGAAAGAGCTTCAGTCAGAAGGGAATACTTCGGCTGCATCAAAGAACCCACACAGGCGAGAAGCTATATAATTGCGTAGAGTGTGCAAAGAGCTTCACCGAAAAAGCAATCCTCAGGCAACATCAAAGCATTCACACAGGGGAGAAACCTTATAAATGCATGGAGTGCGGAAAAAGCTTCAGACAAAAAGGGGGCCTTACACGTCATCAAAGGATTCATACAGGAGAGAAGCCCTATAATTGCATGGAATGTGGAAACAGCTTCAGTGACAAACATGTACTTAGCCAGCATCAATCTATTCACACAGGGGAGAAGCCACATAAATGCGTGGACTGTGGGAAATGCTTCCGTCGCAAATGGTTTCTTACGCAGCATCAAAGAATTCACATACGAAATATGCCATATAAATGTATGGAGTGTGGAAGGAGTTTCAGTCTGAAAGGACACCTTAAGCAACATCAGAGTACCCACACTGGGGAAAAACCATACAAATGCATGGAGTGTGGAAAGGGCTTCAGTCTGAGCTCCAATCTTATTACGCATCAAAGAACTCACACAGGGGAGAAACCATATAAATGCACAGTGTGTGGAAAGAGGTTCTGTCAGAAAGGGGTCCTTAGACAACATCACAGGACTCACACGGGGGAGAAGCCATGTAAATGCATGGTGTGTAGAAAAAGCTTCAGTCAGAAAAGGCTCCTTAGACAGCATCTGATGACTCACACAGGAGAGAAACCTTATAAATGTATGGAGTGCAGAAAGAGCTTCAGTGAGAAAAGGATCCTTTTGCAGCATCAAAGGATTCATACAGATGAGAAACCATTTAAATGCACAGAGTGTGGGAAAAGCTTCCGTCAGAATGGGAACCTTAGCCGCCATCAAAGTGTGCACACAGGAGAAAAACCATTTAAATGCATGGAATGTGGAAAGAGCTTCAGTCAGAAAGGACACCTTAAGGGACATCAGAGTATTCACACAGGCGAGAAACCATATAAGTGCACAGTGTGTGGCAAGAGCTTCAGTGAGAAAGCAGTCCTTAGACGACATCAAAGCATTCACACAGGGGAGAAACCACATAAATGCACAGAATGTGGAAAGAGCTTCAGACAGAAAAGGGCCCTTAAGCGGCATCAAATGATTCATACAAGGGAGATAGCAAATTGTGGAAAGAGCTGATAAAGTGTCAAAATGTTCACGCAAGGGAGAAGCTGTAGAAATTATGGAAAGGGTTCCTTAGCTTCGGAGAATTCACTCAGAATATAAGTCTTATAAACGAATTAAGTACAGTATGGTGAAAGTTTCAGTCGGAGCTCAGACTTTCCTAGAAGTTGGGTTTCCTGTGAAAGTGTTTACCTTTTTCCACGATCCAGGTCAAATCTAACCCTGAAAGATCAAAAAATTTTTTGCAGATGCATCAGGAGATGCACTATGGAAATGATTCAGGGCTTGAATACACTGGCTAAAATAATTGGACAGTTGTATCGAGGTACAGGTATTATGGTTTCAAGTCATGTCACATGCTCTTGTGTCGCTGTCCCCATCCATGTGAGACAGCCTCAATTAAAATGGCTTGATTTGGTGCAGGGGACAACACTCCTCTTTAAATTGCCTTACGTAGACCTGGGCTTGGCATTTTGATCTACCATCAAGTCTGTCCTGACTCCACCTGCATTCCTGCCTTCACCTGATTTGGGATTTCATTTTTATTTTTGCATTGTATTTGCAAACGGGTTTTTCTCTTTCTTATTCTAAGTGGCATAGCACTGCATCAATATTGCAAATACCTTTTTTTTTTGCAGTCGCCTTCCCAACTTCCCACTCATCTCTGACAATCTGCTACTAACTATGCACCTTCCTGTACTTAATAAAATTGTACTGATAAAATGTTTGTTTCTTCCATTCCTCACTGTAATGCACTGCTGTGACACAAGGTGGTGTCATCCACCACAATACTGGGATCTGACAGGCTGTATCTTTTTCCTTCCTCGCTCACCACTGCAGAAAGTGGCAGTCCTGAACACAGCTGCATTTACTACCCACCTGCATGGTTGCATCCTGTTGCTTAGCACAGAGTGTCAGACCTCACTGGGAGGTGCTCTGGACAATCTTCTTACAAAACATCTAAAAGCATTCCTACAGGGCAAATCACAGAAACCTGGTTTTTGTGCATGTTTGCCAGAGCTGACAAAAGATTTCTAGGTTCATCATAGCTGACAATATTTCAGTAAATGATTCATACCAGAATGAAATTAGACTCTTAGACAAGCATTTCCAGATTCATCTGAGTATCTTTTAAAGCTTTATCTACATTGCTTCTAATTTCCATAAGCATAAAATAAATTCCCAAAGTATTCACATGTAACTTTTGAGAAATCATAGTATGTCATTTCATCTTGCAAACTCATCCTTAGAGTTATATAGATATGTAGGTACAGTGTATGTAAAATATAGGAACCTTAGAGGTAAATTGTAAGCACATACCTGTGATCATGTTCCAAAACTGTAGGAGCTTACATTTATAATTCCGGAGATTGTAGCTTATAAAGGCAGAGAATCAATCTTTATAATACATCATTTAAAATTAAAAAGCATCATTATTTTACTAGCCTTTAGAAGCCTCAAAAGCCTTATTGTAAAAGCATAGAAAAATATTAAAGTTCTTAAGTATAAAGCATTATTTAGGTAAAGGTAAAGGTTCCCCTTGACAATTTGTCCAGTCATGTCCAACTCTAGGGGGCAGTGCTCATCTCCGTTTCCAACCCATTGAACTAGCGCTTGTCCAAAGACAATCTTCCATGGTCCGTCGCCAGGGCGACTAGACACAGAACGCTGTTACCTTTCCACTGTGGTGGTACCTATCTACTCGCATTTTGCATGCTTTCGAACCACTAGGTTGGTGAGGTCAGAGCATTATTTAGCTCTAAGCATATTAAGACAGAAATAAAATCAATTATTTGTTATTACTTAATGTGTTCGCGTAAGGGACATGGTGGCGCTGTGGGTTAAACCACAGAAGCCTCTGCTGTAACCTCTGTAGATCTTCAGCTGTAAGATTGAATCCATGTGACGGAGTGAGCGCCCATCGCTTGTCCCAGCTCCCACCAACCTAGCTGTTTGAAAGCATGCAAATGCGAGTAGA